TGTTATAGTTGAGTTTTTCTTCCTTCCTGCAAGGCATTCTACACCAAATTCTAGTTTTTTTTGCAGACTTCTTAGATTGAAGCAAGCATCACCACACAAAATATCTGATGCGTTATATCAGTTCCTGTCTGGCCCCAGGCTGGTTCCAAGGCTTTATTAATCATATTACTTTGTTTAGGAGCTGGACTACTGAAATTTCTTTTCCCAGGACTAACACCCTGTCTAGGAATGGAGATTGCCCTTTAACCAAATAGATCAAGTTTCTTCAGTGTGGTGAGAAATATCTAAAAGCACTAACATTCAATTATCAAATAGTTTTCAATTATCCCAAATTATGTTATTCTAAAGATATCTCCACTGCCCCTTAATGCGGCAGAATTAATTGTTATTCTATTACTCTGTTAAGAATATGTTTAAAGTAGATATATTGCGAACAATTCCCAGAATTCCTATCACACCATGATGTTCTTGGCTGTAAACACTTCTACAAGATTCAGAATTGTCTGAATATCATAGATAATTATGCATTTTTAAACTTTGTGTTATCACCCAAAATAAATTATAGTGTTAGGTGTTATAGAAATTAAAAAGGAAAAAAGTGGCAAGTGTATACCTCCTCTCATTTAGCCTGTTCAGAGAAATGTTATTAAATATATATAATAATGTAGGAAAGATGACTGGTAGCACTGAACATTAAGGGTATTTGGGGAATGTAATACAAAATGCATTCATTTCTTCAGGCCTATAATTTTAAGTAAGAAAGGCCAGTCCTTTCTCTTTATCTCTGATTATGCATATATTTTCTCAGCCATCTCTGTTTATTGTGGGTAGTGAAGTAGAAGGGGCAATTTGCAAGCTCTAATAACCTACTAATTGCTGTATTCTGTTCTCAGCGCCTCTTTACATTTTCTTGGCCATGAGAGACTCTGACAATGTGAAACTCTCTAAACTAGGAACAGGCAGTGGGGAGAAGGAACTCTGTCCAGTCTTTTCAGAACAGATGTTGAACCCCAAATCCTTCGTCTTTCCCAACATATTCTTTTTACAATGTCCTTTCTTGTGCACCTGTATTAATTGGCTGAATCTGCAATATGCAGAAAGCAATAACTTTATTTACAGTAGTATTAAGTCCTACACAACACAAACTATTCAGACAAGGAGAATAAATCCAAATCATTTAAAATATAATTCCATCTTTCAATATATTATCTTAGGGGAGGGGAGGAACCTAGATCATACTAGATCAGGTTATTTCATCCCTCTTTTTTGGTAACATGCATAGCCTAAAAATATAAACAATATACACACATTTTATTGTAAAATAACCACCACAGTCTTTTGGAAGACATCACCCAAAAGAAGATATTGAATAAGAAGAAAAAAGAAACATTTCCTAGGACAATTGGATATAGGTATGCACAGAGATATTTAGATAAATTTAGGTAAATTTTTACTGGAGATAAAATAAATCACCGAATTGCGGATTTTGCATAATAAAGTGAAAAGATGGGGAAACCTTGCATTCTTACAAAAACATAGATAAGGGTGGTTGTTATTGGAAAGTTAAACCACATATGAAACTTAAATGTATATCTGCATAGCCAATCTCAGGCTGTAAGGATAATATTAGAACACTCTTATTCTGGTTTTGACGAAACTTACTTATTACTGTAGCTGCTCCTGAATACAGCTGAGTTTAGTTTTGGCTTAGGAAAGTTGAGTAATTAGATTTGGTATGCATTTTAAGGGAAAAGTAACTGAATGCATATCCCAGATTGCATTATACAGTGGTACCTCTACTTAGGAATTAATCTGTTCCGTGACTCTGATCGCAAGTCGAGTTGGTCGCAAGTCGA